CTATTATGAACAACTGATCAATTATTTAACAGACTCATAGCAAGTCTAATCAAATAAACATTATCCGCGGCTCACGTCCTGATTCAGACCTGGAATTATGGTTCAAAACAGGATTGACAATGTAGACGATACAGCGTGAATCCCATTTTTTGTCTGAAACCACATTGGAAACCGTTATATTCTGGGTTTTCTGAGCCATAATGTCAAAAGTGGCGGCACATTGTTCACCTATGGAACTCGGGGAGGTTTGTGTGAATGGCTCTGGTCTGTATGGGTGGAGTTGGAGAATGGAGGGGTGGTGGCGGTGAAGTGGGGGGTCTGCGTGTTAGCGGGACAGGGGACACTTGAGCGAATAACTGCAGACACAGAGCAGTGTGAATGGGGCCGCTCCATTAGACCTCTTTTCATCCGGAGACTTCGCCGGGGTTCGACGATTCGTGCGAAAGGTTCAAATGATCGGCCACATGAGATCACTGTGCGCTGGCAGACTGCTTTTACACATTTATACGGATGGATAGTTTGTCTTAGGTCGTGTACCAGAGAAAACCGGTTTGTTCCAGGTCAAAAAACTTATTTTTTAAAAGATTTTTACCAAGTTACAATATTGTTTCCTCATCAAGAGCAGTTGTTTTTAGCTCTGGCTAGACAGTAATCAGGAGCTTCTGCCATAAATCAGCACAAGTTAAACTTCCCCTTCTGTTTAAATGTTCCTTTTTCAAACTAAAGGATGTCACAAGCAGGTTTTGGGAATTCCTCCGATCGAAATACATTCTTTACATCTACATGCTTTCAAGACTGTGCCATGTTAGGTTTAGGTCGAAATCTAGCAGCGTAATTTCACACTTCTCCCGCTACATGGGAGTGTTACCTACTTTCATGTGTATCCTTATTTCAACTAATTTACCGTCCTGAAACATGAAATGTCAAAAGTAAATTTTCTGTCAAAATGTCAAAGGTACATGAGTGTCCTTAACTGCATCATCACTACTGTCCTTAAAAATAATGTTGGGCTTCACCAGGAGTGAAAAAAGAAACCCTTAAATGCAAGTATTGTGTCGACTCATGTACATATGATGTATTATGTATAACATGTAATTACTGTAAAATATGTGTCTATAAGAAAATAATAAATTCCTGAGTATACGCTTGAAATAAATATAATATATATATATATAAATGGAAAAAAAAACACATGAAAAAGATTATGTTGAAGAGCTGCACTTGATAAAAACGGCAGTAATGTTTTTGACCACTTTTATTTCAGAGTCAGGATTTGGAATTCCAAGTAAAAAATCTTTTATCATAAACGTCATCTCAATAGCGCTGACATAGTTGTAATAATGCATTCTCACCGAGCGCTCCTCCAGACTCTCAAAGAGGCTGTAAAAAGGCTTTTTCCGTCATTTTAAAGCCACAGTTGACAATCATTCTCTGGATTTATACAACACCTTAATCCTAACTTGGGTAAAATGTATCTCCACCAAGGTCAATAGAAACAACAAGGAAGACAAATGAAACTCTTTTTAGCTGTCTCCCATCACGGCACTAACCAGGCTCAAACCTGCAAGAACAACGCTGTACCAAGTTACATTTGTGCCAAAATGCTTCTGGCTTCTACAGGTTTACCAAACATTTTTACAACCAGTCAAGGTGAAAATGGGGGTTGTCAGAGCAATGGCATCTTTAGTTCCGAGACAATGTACATGACTCCACATGCACTTGATCCATGGAAAAATGGGGTCAATGAGAATTTGAATGCAAAAGTATATACAAATCCAGTTTTACAATAAACATGCAAGACAGAGGAGGAGGTCACCAGTAAGTTGTGGTAAAGAACTGAATTGGACTGGACGATCTCACAAACTTAATTCAGAGACAATACTTTTGTTTAAAAAGGCAGAAAATGGCTTGGTCCTTGAAGTCATAGTCTAAGGATTTGTTAAAGCTGATTGACATAGGAGCATTTAAACAGAAGGGGCGGATGATTGCAGATGATCCTACAATGAGCGTGGATGGAGCTAAAAACAACTTCAGGGTCTGTTTTCAATGAGGGAACAATGTAATGAGCTTATAAACTACTAAAAGATGACTCTACATTATACGTGTCTTTAAAAATGAAAAAAGGAACAGCCCAATGATTCTCCTCACAAAATCCTATCTGTAGTGTTTGCACCGCTGCCCACTTGTGGCTGAAGATGGAACAGCTGCCCCCACATTCTTGACCCTTCACCTGATCTCATTCTTTGACATTTGGAGCAGTTTTGATGAAGACACAAAATGGATGCTCATAATGTGACCGCTGGCCTATTGTGTATGCGTGTGTATGCGTGTGTGTGTGTGTGTGTGTGTGTGCGTGTGTGTGTGCGTGTGTGTGTGCGTGTGTGTGTGTGTGTCATTCAGACTGTGGCTCTCTCTGTAGCTCAGGACATTCTGTGTTGTGTCTAATAAAATGTTTCAATCAATAATAACAGCCAAGAGCAGACAAGCAGGTTGTTTCAAATGTAGATAGAGTCCCTAGTGCCCTGACCGGGTCTGTAACCGCTCTGTTAAAACATATAGTAAAAAGGTTATGTCTTTTCAATAAGTGGCTCAAAACACATTTTCAAAACAGTATTGAGTGACAGAACAAATATAAGAATGCATTTGTGTTGTAAATGTGGCTGTTTAAGAATGTGAATTTTGTTCTTAAATCTTTTTGTAAACATATATAGAAACATAATTAATGTGTGTAATGATTGATGAGGAAATGAAACACCTCCATCTAGTGGTAGAAGTGGGAAATAGCATTGTTCTCGTATAGTCAAATCTAACATGGCGTGGTCTAACTGAAGGAAAGCGATTGTAATGAACGCCATTTGACTCAAGACATTTCCAAAACTGATTTGGAGGCAATACTTTGGTTTTAAAACGGCAGAGAACAGCTCTTTCTGTGACGTGGATTTGTCGTGACGTAACGAGTTTGAGAAATGATCGTTTAGACAGATGGGGAAGGATGTGTTTGGGCCAGAAGTTATAGGCATTATTAGCATAGAACCGAAAACAAGTCCAGGTCTGTTTTTGTGCATGAAAAACTACATAAAGCATCCTTAAACTGGACATGGCATTGGGCGATGTTTCTAAAGGCAGAAAAGTGAAAAAATATACTTTAATTTGAACTTTTCTGTTTGCATATCAACATAACATGAGTAATATTTCAAAATGTGTTCATAGGAATGTCATCTAATCATTAATTATGTCAACAATATGTGCTGTTTTACTTAATGATCAAAAATATAAGTTTTGTTTAGTATAAGGGCGGTTGGATTATCTTTTTCAGACAATTAACAAACAAGTATACAATACATATGGTGTTATATAATGCAAACTATAGGTCTGCAATGTAATCAGGGTAAAGATATACTAGTAATGTTGATAAAGAAGTACAATTGCATATAGTTTACGCATAAAAATATCTGGTTTGAGTCTGAGTCTGTGCTTGTTAGTCATGAGCTTGTGTTACAAAGGACTGTGAGAGTTGTGATGGTCCATAGTCGCACATAAACTGCACGAATACAACTTTGATCAGTGCAATATTCAGTTCAACGTTATTACGGAGACAGATGAGAGGGAGACGTTCTTTTTAGATCTTCTTTGTTCGTTTACAACATTCACAGTGAAGTCAGCTCTATATTTTTTATCATGAGCCTCATTGTACAACAAATTAAGATTTAATTTGTAGTGGTAGAAGTAGAAGTAGTAGTAGTATGGTAGTAAAGGTAGGATTAGGCTATAGTTAATGCAGTAGTAGTAGTAGTAGAAGTAGTAGTAGTAGTAGAAGTAGTAGTAGTTAATACAGTAGTGGTAGTAGTAGAAGTAGTAGTAGTATGGTAGTAATGGTAGGATTAGGCTATAGTTAATGCAGTAGTAGTAGTAGTAGAAGTAGTAGTAGTTAATACAGTAGTGGTAGTAGTAGAAGTAGTAGTAGTATGGTAGTAATGGTAGGATTAGGCTATAGTTAATGCAGTAGTAGTAGTACAGTAGTAGAAGTAGTAGTAGTTAATACAGTAGTGGTAGTAGTAGAAGTAGTAGTAGTATGGTAGTAATGGTAGGCTTAGGCTATAGTTAATGCAGTAGTAGAAGTAGTAGTAGTTAATACAGTTGTGGTAGTTGTAGTAGTTGTAATAGTAGTAGTGATGGTAGTATTAGTAGTAGTACAGTAGTAATGGTAATATATAGTTAATACAGTAGTAGTAGTAGTAGTAGAAGTAGCAGTAGTTAAAACAGTAGTGGTAGTAGTAGTAGTAGTAGTATAGTAGTAACGGTAGTATTAGTAGTAGTACAGTAGTAATGGTAGGATTAGACTATAGTTAATACAGAAGTAGTAGTAGTAGAAGTAGCAGTAGTTAAATCAGTAATGGTAGTAGTATAAGTAGTAGTACAGTAGGATTAGACTATAGTTAATACAGTAGTAGTATAAGTGTAGAAGTACTGGACGTAGTAAACTATAATTAAAAAGTGGTAGTTACGGCAACAGAGTAGTAGTAGTAGAAGTAATACTAATAGTAAAAGTCTATTACTTTTCTATGTCAGCAGTGCATTCTCCCGCCACCCGCTTCAGAATTTTAACAACTCACTTTCTTTGTTTTTTACTTTAGGGAACACTTGGTTATATTCTTAGTTTTCTCCCTCGTGGTCAAACATAACTTCAATAACCAAAGAATGCTATGTATTATTCATGTTTACATTGATCCCTATGAAGATGTCTACAATGTCAAAAAGTGAAAAAGACAAGAACATGACAAACAGCACTCGCCCAAAGTTCATCACTATATACAATACTATACTTTACTAATGTCAAATACTATAATATACTAATACTAAGTCTGTCACAAAGCCAGAGGATTTGAATGTACATGTCTGCTTTTCGTCCCATGTTTTTCAGTGACAATGCAACAGCTGCACTTTCAAAAGAATTGTACTACAGTCTATAGATTATATAATAACAGTACAGCAACAGTGCAATGAGGGGAAAAACCTATCATTTCCACCTGAAAGTACATCTCCAACTCCCCTCAGAGACAGAGAAGGCATGTCCAACTCCCCTCACAGAGACAGAGAAGGCATGTCCAACTCCCCTCAGAGACAGAGAAGGCATGTCCAACTCCACTCATAGAGACAGAAAAGGCATGTCCAACTCCACTCACAGAGACAGAGAAGGCATGTCCAACTCCCCTCACAGAGACAGAGACGGCATGTCCAACTCCACTCACAGAGACAGAGAAGGCATGTCCAACTCCACTCACAGAGACAGAGACGACATGTCCAACTCCCCTCACAGAGACAGAGACGGCATGTCCAACTCCCCTCAGAGACAGAGAAGGCATGTCCAACTCCCCTCAGAGACAGAGAAGGCATGTCCAACTCCCCTCACAGAGACAGAGAAGGCATGTCCAACTCTCCTCACAGAGACAGAGAAGGCATGTCCAACTCCCCTCACAGAGACAGAGAAGGCATGTCCAACTCTCCTCAGAGACAGAGAAGGCATGTCCAACTCCACTCATAGAGACAGAAAAGGCATGTCCAACTCCACTCACAGAGACAGAGAAGGCATGTCCAACTCCCCTCACAGAGACAGAGACGGCATGTCCAACTCTCCTCACAGAGACAGAGAAGGCATGTCCAACTCCACTCACAGAGACAGAGAAGGCATGTCCAACTCCACTCACAGAGACAGAGACGACATGTCCAACTCCCCTCACAGAGACAGAGACGGCATGTCCAACTCCCCTCAGAGACAGAGAAGGCATGTCCAACTCCCCTCAGAGACAGAGAAGGCATGTCCAACTCCCCTCACAGAGACAGAGAAGGCATGTCCAACTCCACTCACAGAGACAGAGACGGCATGTCCAACTCCCCTCACAGAGACAGAGACGGCATGTCCAACTCCCCTCAGAGACAGAGAAGGCATGTCCAACTCCCCTCACAGAGACAGAGACGGCATGTCCAACTCCCCTCAGAGACAGAGAAGGCATGTCCAACTCCACTCACAGAGACAGAGAAGGCATGTCCAACTCCACTCACAGACACAGAGAGAAGGCATGTCCAACTCTCCTCACAGAGACAGAGAAGGCATGTCCAACCCTCCTCACAGAGACAGAGACGGCATGTCCAACTCCACTCACAGAGAAGGCATGTCCAACTCCCCTCACAGCGACAGAGAGAAGGCATGTCCAACTCTCCTCACAGAGACAGAGAAGGCATGTCCAACCCTCCTCACAGAGACAGAGACGGCATGTCCAACTCCACTCACAGAGAAGGCATGTCCAACTCCCCTCACAGCGACAGAGAGAAGGCATGTCCAACTCCACTCACAGAGACAGAGACAGTATGTCCAACTCCACTCACAGAGACAGAGAGAAGGCATGTCCAACTCCACTCACAGAGACAGAGAAGGCATGTCCAACTCCACTCACAGAGACAGAGACGGCATGTCCAACTCCACTCAGAGACAGAGACGGCATATCCAACTCCACTCACAGAGACAGAAGGCATGTCCAACTCCACTCACAGAGACAGTATGTCCAACTCCACTCACAGAGACAGAGAGAAGGCATGTCCAACTCCACTCACAGAGACAGTATGTCCAACTCCACTCACAGAGACAGAGAGAAGGCATGTCCAACTCCACTCACAGAGACAGAGACAGCATGTCCAACTCCACTCAGAGACAGAGAAGGCATGTCCAACTCCACTCACAGAGAAGATATAGTATAGCAACTTATCTAAGTATATTTGCTCTTCCCACGTGAACGCAACACATATTTCCATCTAAAATTACCCCAAGTTCTGTTGAAATGGGACTTGCTGCTTTCAACACGAGCCAAACAAGTCAACCCACTTCCAGTGCACTGCAAAAATCACGGGCTGACATTTTGGGACGATGCATGGGAAAAGAATACATAAATAAATAACTATTGAGGGCATTTTTAGTCAACCTGAAAAAAGGCAATTTCCTTTTGTTTGTTTTAGATTTAGAAGGAGCGGCGTGCGGGAGTGTCTCTGGTCAAGCCAAAATGACACGTCTGCGCCTTTATCTCAAGTGGAATTTCCTCCTCGCCCCTTTTTGATATGCGTCAATAACGTGCAACCATTTTCAGTCGCTCTTTCCCCTCTTCTCTCTCGCGGCCATCTCAATTAGACTCACGCTAATGAAAGACATAGTAAGCAACAAACAATGCCCTCGGATCAACCACGGATCATAGCAATTACGAAAAAAAGGCGATTCTTTTAACAGCGCGTAAAGCTGGACAGAAATCTCCCCAATAAATACTAAACAAAACATGATATAGTTTTGGAGAAGTCTGGGAGGAGGTCTGTCTGTGTCATGTCAGCCCCAATCTATCGCCTGCTCCACTCTACACTACAAGCCTGCTCCATTTTGTTCTTAAATTTTCTATACAAAAGATTAAGGGAGGGGAAAGACGGAGCGAGAGGAGGAGGCAAAGTACCATCATGGATTTCATCTTGAATCCGTCTGCCAATCTCTCAAACCCCCTTCCAAAAAAAAAAAAGAAGAGAAAGCCATATTACGCACGCTGTTTTCACACGCACACACAAAAATCTGTACTTTTTTTTTTTTTTACTTGTGTGCAGGATTGCGCGTAAAAACCCCAAAAGACCGCTCGGTACACTTGCTATCCTTGCGAATGGTTGTAAAAAAAAAAAAAGCAGTGGAGGTGATGTTAGGACAGCTAGAGCAATGAGAAAGTGGCTCGGTCAAAAAGGCAACATTTACAACAAGACGATTCCACTACGCGTCCCAAAAAAGTGGCGTTTAGAGACTGGCTCAAAGGAGCGGAAACAGCGCACTTACACAACGCCAAGAAAAGCATTACTCAGGCTAATCTCCTCTATACCTACAACATCGCTCGCGTTCTGGGGGAGAATTCCACTTTTTTCTCCCTCTACCTCGACAATGCGTCCCTGGCTTTTTGAACCCAGCGTCAACTTGAGTTACCCTTTGTCAAAGCGGAGACACACAGAACCAAAGAAACGCATATGACTTTTTCCTTGCACATTTTGATCAGCACACGTGGCTAAAAATAAACACAGTCTTGCGCAACTGCCTGGAAGTTACTTGATTTTGTTGTAGGATAATGTCCACGTTTGGCCACTTTTAAGGCGACTTTTACGCACTTGCGACGCGTTCGGAAGTCTATTCAAATCGCACCATAAGACCAGTGTCAGCGAACCAAGCACGGCGCGCTGATGATATGTGTCATTTTGGGAACATTTGTGGCATTTTCTGTTGTCATGTCACCTCTATAAGCAGGCGGTGAGACTGCGTAGATGTCGCCATGCACAAACATACACTCACATACACACACAGAGAGACGCGCGCGCACCGGGTTACATACGTGACAAAGTGAAATACACGCTACATGCCAATCACTCAATCACTCGCATCCAAACTACAAACTACTCAAAAATGATCTGCAAGTACTACTCCGGCCATTGTGTCCCGGTTTGAATAAAGAAAAAACAACTATACTATTAAATCCTCCAAAAATGTTGCAACGTAACCAGTGTCTGACGCGCCCATGCGTAAAAGTGCGAATGTAAACATATAGTTGTTAAAATGCGAGTGGATAAATGTAGTTATATCGGCTATAGGTTGAAAGTAAAGACTCAGTGTACTTACGGGAGAGGCGGCGAGGAGATTAATGACACGACACGTCATGATTACGTTTCACTTGAATTAAATACATTACGAGTTGAGGAAAAAAATGGAAATCAGGGTTGTATACAAGCATACGCCGTCCCCCCTCCCACCTCCCTCCTTCCCTCTCGCTCTGGCCACTCTACTCTGTACCTCTCTCTCCCAATAGTACACTTCTGCATGCATGGAGCTGCACTCACGTGTCCTCTCATTTATTTTTTATTTTTTGTGTGTGTTTGGAACTTTTATTAACACGAGAATGGAGCAAAACGACTGGGCCCACAGAAAGAGAAAAATACAATTACATTAAAATCCAACCCACTGTATTTATAAAGCACATTTTATTGAACAAGTTTCCAAAGTGCTGCACAGAGAAAAGTAACACATTAAAATATACAAGTCTGCCAGCTTTAAATAAAAGCAATAAGAAATATATATACATAAAACAATACAATGAGCAATAGCTGTAAAACATCCATCCATCCATCCATCCATTTTCTACCCTTTAATCCATTTCTGGGTCAGGGGGGTGACAGTCAGAGATGCCACCCAAGTATCATAGCACCAGCCCCTCACTGACCCTCTGCAGGTGGTGAGTCCACAGGAGGACGGCTGCTCTCTGAGTGTGAGCATAGCCTTGATCTTTCAGTGGGGGCTTTGGGCAAAGTGGGGTTAAGTGTCTTGCCCAAGGACACAATGACAGCAGTCATCAGTGGGAGAAAGTGCAGAGGTGGGAATTGAACCCACGACCTTCTGGGCTTAAGGCCAATGCCTTTGCCAAGGCCAAGCTGTAAAACAATAAATAAATATATACATACAGTACATACACATGATTACCAGCTAGAATCATGTACTTGAGTATAGTCCAAAATCAGAACAGCAGACTTCTCAATAGTCTTATTAAAATGTATGTTGTACTGATAGCTTATTTGAAAATGAAGCAATGGGCCAATAGCAGATCAGATTACATTTGTTTTCTCAGGAATGCTGCTCTGTACAAAAGCTGAGACAACAGCTCTATTATGTAGGCTACACATTGTTACTTTTCTGGCCGTCACAGGAGCAGCTGAAATTGTTATTCCCTCGGGAATTATGTCCCGGGTGAAGATTGATGGTCCAGAGGTAAGTTTATCGCCAGTATGAAGTCATTTTTATCAATACCTCATGCCTCAAAATAATAAAAAAAAGAAAAATACCAGAGAAGCCAATAATGCCAGTGAAATCTGCCAAATGTACTAAATTATACAATATTTGTACATTGTCAGTGTTGAGGCCTGTCTCCCAGTTTCAGAAAGATTTCCCAACTTTAGCTGCTTAAATGTGAATGCAAACTCCCATGTTTAGTCCTGACTGTGGCACCAGCCGAAGAGGCCAGTCCCTGAGGTTCATAACTTTTGTTTTGTCTGAGTTAGGTATAGAATGTTGTGTTCTATTTTCTCACTGATCTGATGCAGGGAAGGAGTGAGTCTACAGGTCTGTGTTCTCCTGCAGTCAGTGAGACATAGATATTAGTGAGATAGGATCAGATTCAGATTAAAACCACTTTGGAATACATGTGCAAAAGTATCCCAGTGTGCACCAGACAAGTATATAAATAAAGATAAGTAAAGAAAGCAAAAAAGTGCAGGAAACATTTGTCTCATTGTTTGTGAAATCAATAAACAAAAAACAGCTTCATTAACAAGTGCACGAAAGTGAAAGTATTTACACACCTTGCAACTGCATCTCCTGCCTGCAGTACACAGCGATTGAACCTAGCCCCGACGATCCAAGACGGCGCCGTATTCAAATGAATGGCTTTTGCTAAGTAGCACATGGGACTTCACGGGGATCGAAAGATTAGCGGAACTCGCCTTTATTCATCGTCTGGTCCTCCTGGTTCTGCGCAGTGGACGAGCTCCCATGATGCGTTGCGCCAAATACGCGTGTGTGGCTCTCATGCACGTGCACAGCGCTTTGACCAGAGCGGGAAGGAAACAAGCAGAGTTTGTGGTCGTAAATTGTGGATTTAAAGAAAACCGAAGGATTTAAAAGACATTTTGTTTAAGACAACAAGGGACACTAATCCCCACAAAATCCGATCTTTATGAAAGCTTAGATTATCTGCTGGTTTAGTTTAAATTGAGTTCTATGGGACTTTTTTCTGGGTAGCGCACGTACATTTAGTCTGCAGTACCAAGTGCACCCCCTGTGCCCATGGGTGGGACAGCTATAAGTTAGTAATACCCTATCCAGTTATTATTATAGATCCATGGATTGAACAGAAGAGGTCCCAGGACCGACCCCTGTGGCATTCCACATGTCAGGGCCATGTTAAAGGGATTGTGAGTAAATATATAGATAAAAAAGTAAAAGTCACATTTGGGAAAATGGAAACATAGCATCCTAAATTTTTTTTTTTTTTTTTTCTTCAGTTTTTTGTATTTTTTACTCAAAGTTTTGTAGTGAGGCTTTAACATCACAACATTGGCTTCAACAATATTACACACTTTAACCACTGTTTTTATGTTGTTATTATATGCAGCAGCCATATATTAACAAATATAATAACAAAATATTAGAAAGTAGTCGCAACCCAAAATAGTCTTGTAAGTGCAGCCCTGAGAGTGCAGCTTCAACTCTACAAAGTCCCTCTCACACACTCCTCCCCATTCTTTCTTGCATTTTTCACCATTTATTGCACTGGAGCGAGTGAATAGGCGAAGAGAGGAGGGGAACTATCCCCTCCTCTCTTTGCCAGAGTGATGTAGGTTGAAAATGTTAATTATAATCTCAGCACGGGGTTCCATTTTACATCGCTGTCATCTCTGTGCGTTTGTATCCTAAAAATGGCATCCGGGTGGCGATCAGTCGAGAGATGGCACTTTGCAAAGACGTTTTAGGGGCAAGGAGAAAAGTTTGGCCTCGTTTGACACAGTGAGGGAAGTCTGAAGACAGGAGCAGATGGATGCCGTCTACAGTATTAGACAAGGATAGGACTGTAGTGCACAAGTACAGGGGAAAGTTTTAAGCAAAAAACACTAGAATGTCACTATATGAAAAGGGGTTGATGACAGATTATAATGTAAGTCAGACTCAGAATAATAATGC